TTCTGGTTTATTTGTAAAAATTAAATCTATCAATGTTTTACTAGTTCGAGTGATTCTTGTAGGACTCATTATCATTTGATGCCGTTTATATTTAGATGCAATAATTTTAAGTTTTTTTTTCTTACTGTTATCCAACCAATTTATAATAAAATCTCCCAGTAAAATTGTTTCAGTGCGACAATTAAACAATTTAAACAGTTCATCAAAATCATGGTAAAACGAAACATTATGAGAAGGAGGGTTATATAACACCATAATATTAAAATTAATTCTCACTGATAACACTACATTTAAAATTAAACATTCAACAATTGTATTTAAATTAAACAATTGTAAAATATTATTACAATTCATAATGGCGGTTTTATACTTCAGTAGATTTTAACATGTCATTTATTTCTGTGATGCAAAGCTGAATTTTCAACATCATTCCACATTCACATGATACTTTAGAAATCATTCTAATATGCTGATTTGCTGTGCAAAGCAAAAAAAAAAAAAATCATTATTATCAGTGTTCAAAACAGTTGTTCTTGTTTTGCTTAATATTTTTGTGGAAACTGTTGTTTTTTTCCCCTCAGGATTTTTGAATAACTTTAAATATATAATGTTCAAAAGAACAGCATTTATTTGAAATATGAATCATTTGTAGCAAGTTTTTATTTTCACTTTTGAAAATCTGAATTACTCCAAACTATTGAACACTAAAAGCATGTATTTCTATGATCAATTTAGGATTTTTATATAATAGGATTTTGAATGAATTGTTTTTTTTTTGTTCTCCTTGTTTGCAAGTTGCTTTGGATAAATATGCATAAATCTGGTTTAAAAAAAAAGTACTGTATTTGTGAATGTCTTCTGAAGCCATACACTAGTCTTATGTGGTAAATGAACCAAAATGTAAGTTCAGCCCCTGGTTGTTGTTTTTGTCTTTGCATGGAAAAGAGCAGCAGCGATATTCTGTGTAACTTCACATTTTGCGTTCCACAAAAGCTAGAGCGACAGAATTTGGTTGAACTGTTTCTTTAAGTTCTGCTTTAGCTCCATCTCTCCCCCGTTCCTGCACGCTGCTCTCTATCTCACCCAATCTAATGAACATGGAGCTGGAGAGGCGTCTGCATGCCTACACCTCTCAGACGCTGCGCATAATTGTTTCTTTCTGTCTCCGCTGGCATCTGAGCTCATGTGTGAGAGGTGAATGGTCTGTCATACTCCTAATGAGCTCAACCCACTAAAGTCAACTGTGCTCTGCCCATTAGAGGAAGCCATTTGCATTAACGAACAGAGAGAAAACACACATCGCCTCACCTACCAATTACTGCTACAACAGACTATGGCGAGATCTCTTTGTGCATGTTTTGCATGTTTGCGTTTGCCCTTTGAGCATGTTTTTATGCATACAGTGACCTTGTAATTCTGGAAGTGTACCGCGAGTTAAATGCATTCTCTGTGTGTTTGAGAGTCTGGGCTTGTAATGCATGAATATATATTCAGGTGAGCAGATAAATTCACTCACTTCCTTGATTTCCTTTTGGTCAATTTAGATTTTAAATCCATCCAGTGCTTTGTTCTTTAATGGAAAACACATTGAAACTGTTTTGTTGTGATTTAAAGTTAAAGAGTTATCCTGCAGCCACTGGGAAACACTGACCAATTGCCTGGTTAACATTTCAGCAGCCAGATGAGAAGTTTCTGCTGTTACATAATTGTGTCATCTGCATACATTTGACAACCAACCTCCTTGCAACTTTCAGGTAAATAATTTATATATAAACAAAAAAGCAACGCACCCAATATTGAACCTTGTGGTACACCTAATTTGCGTTTTTGAAGTGATGATTTCACACCGCTAATTTTAACACATTGCTGTCAACAACCCAGGTATGGTTTAAACCAGTTTAGAGCTTGTTGAGATTTCAATTTATTTTTGAGTACTTAATGATTCACAGTATCAACAGCCTTTTTAAAGTCTAAAAATACTGCTCCCACGACTTTTCCTTGATCCAAACTACTTTTTATGGTATCTATGAAATGACATATAGCCATTTCTGTTGAATATTTTGGCCAGAAACCAAATTGCTTAGAGAAAAAAGTACTGTATTTGTGAATGTCTTCTGAAGCCATACACTAGTCTTATGTGGTAAATGAACCAAAATGTAAGTTCAGCCCCTGGTTGTTGTTTTTGTCTTTGCATGGAAAAGAGCAGCAGCGATATTCTGTGTAACTTCACATTTTGCGTTCCACAAAAGCTAGAGCGACAGAATTTGGTTGAACTGTTTCTTTAAGTTCTGCTTTAGCACCATCTCTCCCCGCTCCTGCACGCTGCTCTCTATCTCACCCAATCTAATGAACATGGAGCTGGAGAGGCGTCTGCATGCCTACGCCTCTCAGACGCTGCGCATAATTGTTTCTTTCTGTCTCCGCTGGCATCTGAGCTCATGTGTGAGAGGTGAATGGTCTGTCATACTCCTAATGAGCTCAACCCACTAAAGTCAACTGTGCTCTGCCCATTAGAGGAAGCCATTTGCATTAACGAACAGAGAGAAAACACACATCGCCTCACCTACCAATTACTGCTACAACAGACTATGGCGAGATCTCTTTGTGCATGTTTTGCATGTTTGCGTTTGCCCTTTGAGCATGTTTTTATGCATACAGTGACCTTGTAATTCTGGAAGTGTACCGCGAGTTAAATGCATTCTCTGTGTGTTTGAGAGTCTGGGCTTGTAATGCATGAATATATATTCAGGTGAGCAGATATGCTTATGGAGCGCTGCTTGACATTGCCCTAATGATGCCGTGTCACCCGGCGTCCACTGTGGCCCCGCAGCCAATTAGCACAGACAGAGAGACTGTTTTACACACACAAGACAAATCAAATTACCCATCTGCCCTCATCCCTTGATCCCGCTCAGCCTCTGCTATTTATTCAGAGTCACTCATTCATTTGGGCACCGTGGGAGCCCGGGGTGATGCTGCAGGTGTGTGTGTGTGTCTGTGTGTTGTGTTCATTAAAGCATACGGGTCAAGAGTGTGTGCACTTAGCAATGCATGCTATCTTCACCTGGTCAAGTGTGTGAACCATGCTAGAAAATGTCATTTTTCGGCTGAATAAAAACAGTCATACTGCCTCTCTGCTTCAAATCACGTTGAAATAATCATATACAATCTCCAAAAACAAAAAAAACAAAAACACAGTACCCTTTCAAAAGGTAGGGGTGAATCCAGATTGATTGGGACACTTTTTGTCATTGAAATGACTGGGAAAAAGGGTTCCAATCAACCTGAATTCATCTACTAATTGTACACTTTAGGTGCTAATAAGTACTTTTAAAGTACTAATATGTACCTTTAAGGTAATAATATGTTCCATTTAGGGGTAAATATGGAGCAAACATACCTTTTAGCTTTTGTAACTTAGGATAATGCCCCACTGACAGCTTTGTACCTTTTGTTCTAAAAGTGTATTTATTAGAGAAAGTCACATCAGTTTAATTTTAATTTAATTTTGTATTTTTATTAAAAACTACTTTATATATTTATTTATTTTTTAATATTACTATTGCTATTTTGTCCTGTTTTTTTCATTTTTGGTTAATATTTATTTATTTTTATTTAATTTATTTATTTTAAGTGCTTAAACTATTTCGGTTTTTTATCTAAAATTTATATTTTTATTTAATTTCTGCTTTATTTTAATTAAAAAAACAAAACCGTTTTAGTTAACAATAACAGCCCTGGCCTCCATACTCTTTCCTGTGCCCATAAAAGCTCTCCAAATTTTGTCCATGTTATGCAAAAGTTCTTATAACCTTAAAGCTAAAATAAAAGGCCATTCTGCAAAGTTTGAGAAAGTGTGAATTGCTTTAGATCTGTTTTAAGGGGCTGTGGGTGGATTAAATGTATTGAATAGCTCTGTTCACTTTTGCTCATTTATACATTTCAATTACTTGTGCGTTAGTCCTCCGGCTGGGGTTTAGAGGTGTGTGTGTGTGTGTGTGTGTCTGGGGAGGGGGTAATTCTGTAAACTCCAGTTAGACTGAACGTAACTCTGACATGGATCTGATTAGGTCTCTGCAGTGAGCTTCAGAGCTGCTGTAATTAAGCTGTCAGTCAAACGCAGCTTACATGGGGAGAAAATAAATACCAGCAAATAATCTTATTATTATGACTTTATAGGCCAATATGCAATTTTTTATAACTTACTGTACAAATGTTTGATATAGTACTGTGTTATTTTTAATGTGCCCTGTGAAAAACAAAACAAAACAAACAAACAAAAAAAAACTTTAGTTTTTTTATTATGGTGTTCACTAGGGTCTGTAATAAATTCAAACTAATATTCAAAATTATGTTTTTCTACCATTTTGTCTGCTATATGCAGTATGCACGCATAATGTCATCATATTTATGTTTTATTAATGTATCTGAAAATAATAATGTGGACATTTTGTGGTGCTGTATGGTCAAATTAAAATCTGATTTGATGGTCATGTTAATTGCTTTGACAGTAGTTTGGATAATTATGTCAAATCAGTTACTATGTACAAAGGAATAAACATGCATAATTACGCAGAACATAAATGATTATCTATTTTTGTCAGAAAGCTTGTTTATGAAAACTTCTGTTCTGTTGAATTTGTGGAATTATACAATGAATAATTCCTATTCCTGGCATCGAGTTATTCAGCTTCCTGTGGGATGTGGCCAGTTCAATTTAAATTCACACTCATACATTTTAAAGTCAGTCAGTCCTTAGGGAGTTTTCTCACTGTTATTGGTGTTGATGTTGGAGTTCAGTTTGTGTAAATTTTGTCCGTTGCTGATTGTGACGTCCCAAACAAAAATTAAATGTTTCAATTAATTTGTCCTTATGTATGTGTGTGTGTGTGTTTTTGATGGGAATGGAAGAAATGTGTCCGTTTTAATGAACTAGAGTGTCTTCAGAGCAAACGTGTCACGGGCGAGACTGCTGTCTAACTCGCGTTTTTCTTTGTCAGGTGGTGTTCGAAGGTATCCGTGGAAACGGTTTTGAGGGAGACATCGCTATCGATGACGTTTCCGTTACCAAGGGGAAATGCAAACAAAAGGATAGCGTGGACAAAACAGGTCTGTACCATCAGTGACACTTCTACAGCACAAAACACCTCTCAGTAATGAACTTCATTATATCCCTTCATGTAGATGACTGAGTGACTAAAAGCCACATTACCAGTTAGCGTACAGATCGTTTTTTTGTTTTGGAGTCTTAAAGCAAAGGAAAAGACAAAAGCCTGTGAGTGATGAAACAGCACTGAGAACTGACCTTAAACCAATCTTATTTAATCATCCTCATGTTGTTCCGAGACTTACTTTCTTCTGTTGAACACAAGTGGAGAACATTTTGAAAGTACTGTTTGGACTTTCAAGTTCAAAAGGATGAAAAAGTACCATAAATGTATCATATAAGTAATCGATACAATGCAAAGATTGAAGTCATACAAATCTTGACATGCACTCTAGCTCTTCTTAGTAAACGTCCATGAGAAAAGCGATGTCAGGTTTGTGAACAAACTGTTCCTTTGAGTTGATTCTTTTCAGTGATTTGGTTGATTCTGTTCACAAAACTGTTTTGGACGATGCATTCATGCCTCAGCAGCAGTTAACCTTGTAAAGCCTAACATATGAAATAATAGTCAGAATCTATTTTATTTTTCAGTGTAGCAGTTTATTGAACCTTTAGTCAAAATTTGAAAACTCAGACATGATTCAGAAGCACAAACTAAGCTGAAATTGCTGATATTTATTGGCTATAAGTAAACTGAAATTCTTATAGTTTGTAATGTAAATCTATGAGATCATTTTAACAATATAGCAGACTACTTACATAAATTGCATAAAAAAAACATAAGTTGTCACTCTGTTTCTCACAATAATATGTCGTAGTAAAATAATATTTAAAATATTTAGTTTGATGATTAAAGCTCTGTAGTTTTTATTGTGGAGGAAAAACAATACAATGCAATACAATAATTTGGAGATGAACAAATAAGCATTCCTCAAAACGATGATGTTTTATATCTGATGCTCAGATTTTAACACATGTATGGATAATCAAGTAAAGCTAAGTTCCTTCAGTCCAGTAAATGTTTATCTTGAAATATTGCTAAAATATATAAAAGTTATTACGTTTACTTTATAAAGATTTCACAGCAAAATGACACGTAAACCACAACCTTAAAATTATGCTTCAAGGTTTTTACTTGCTAAAAAATATGAACTATTAATCAGACAGCAGAAAGCATGTAGAAGATTATATACAGCAACACAAGAGTTTTCAGCAAAGTTTTGATCGCAATTCATAGATTTTTTGAAATCTGCACATCAAATATGCTGCAGCAGGTTACATGGAGTTAAAAGTTAACTGAAGGTGAAAATAATGACAAAAATAATGAAATTTAAACCTGCCTCTCACACAAAGCTATCACGACTTCAAAATACTAGGAAGCACAAGTCAACTCTTTCTATGATGTACGGTGCTTTTTTGTTCTTCTTTGAGCTTTTAATAATACAGACAGAATATCAAACAGTTTGTAAGGACACGAGGATGAGTAAATGATGACAGAATTTGAATGATCACAACAGGAAGGTTTTAGAGATGAACTGTCAGCAGGTAAGATGTGCCAGGACAGTGTTACTGATGGTGGAGGCAGCTGCAGGGGCCCGGGGCCGGAGCCGGAGCCCAGCTCTGACAGCTCTGGCTTCTTCTCACCTCGTGCAGCCCTCTGATGGTGCGGCAGGCCTCGGGTCTCCTCCTGAAGGCTGATCTTGGCACATGATGGGTGTGAATGCATGCACACAGACAGGAAAAGGCCCAGTGCCAGACGCTCTGAGAGAGAGAGAGAGACAGGGCAGCTGTCCAGAACACCATCCCCCTCAAAACCCACCAGATGAATTGATAAATGATCATACTCATTACTGTAATGCAGGACAATATACTGTTTCATTTATGCTTTAGAAATGCCTAATATAATTAATTAAATTAATCACACTATCGATAATTGCCTCTAAATGGACATACAGTACACTACTGATTAAAAATGAATGTTTTTGAAAGAAGTCGCTCAATTTCACCAAAGCTGCATTTATTTATTTTATTTAACAGGAGTAATGTGAAATATTATTTCAATTCAAAATTTCTATTTTGTATTTGAATATATGTATATATAATTTTCTGCATCATTACTCCATCATTACTTAGTGTCACATGATCCTTCAGAAATCATTCTAATATGCTGATTTGCTGCTCAAGAATCATTTCTTATTATTATCAATGTTGAAAATGGTAGTGCTGTTTAAAATCTTTGTGGAATTCTTTGATGCATAGAAAGCTCAAAAGTATTAAAAAGTTCAGACGTATTCATTTATTTTGCTTTTGTCAAATATGACCTGGACATAAATTCATGATATTCACCCAAAAACAAACCTTTTTTTTGAGGCCTAATGTTGACTGTCTGTCTGTCTGACATAAAGATAGAAATAAACACTTCTTGTGTTAAAGATGAAAGATTAAAGATTTTGTGGAAACAGTTAAAGCGAAAATTGTCAACCACAGATTTCTTTATTATGAACGCTCCTACACTGTAAAAAAAAATCCGTAAAATTTACGGTAAAAAAACAGGAGCTGTGGTTGCCGGAATTTGACCGTAAAAATATGGTAGCAACATTTTAGGTTTTACGGTTTTAACAAATTTACAGTTAAATACCGTAATTTCCTTAACTGATATAATGTTAATATACCAACCTATTGAAGTACTGAAATCTGTTTTGTACCTTTGTAATACACTGATAATCACCAAATGTAGGTGGTGAATTTAAATAGCTTTTAAATAATAACATATATAGAAGGTGCACAGTGTCATTCACACAAACACTAAACACCATCATGGTAATATAATAAAAAACTGAAATAATGCAATAAACATTCATTTAACAACATTAGGTGTAACATACAACCCTAATATACAAAACTGATGAGAAAAAACTAAGAAGAATCATAGTTATTTCAACAAAAAAAACATCAAATTTGAAATGTAACGCAGGGAATTCTGGGAATGTCAATTTACGGTTATTCACTGTAAATTATACGGTCTTTTTCACTTCCAAAAACGGTATACTACCATAAAACACAGTTACAATACAGTCTAATACAGTTTTTCACCGTATATAGTAGAGGAATTTTCCGTTAACCATTTAACAGGTTTTTACTGTAGCATTTTTACAGTCTTTTACCGTTAAATTCATGGTCATTTTTTACAGTGTAGGGAAGAAATCTAACAGCCACATCAAGCGTCATCTGAGATCTTCCAAAGCATACAACATCAAAACACATTCAGTGTCCATGGCAGCAGCTCCTTATCAGCCAACCTTCAAGATAATACAGACACTCCAGCAGAGAGAAGCTCTCCCTGTTCCAGAAGAAATAATGAAACTTTAACATTACCCTTTACACATCATTGTGCTTATTACATCTACAGAGACCTATAGCAAGACAAAACCAATATAAAAGTAAAATATCAATATAAATGTAAAGTAAAAATAAATATCAAGAGTATATGAGCAAATAAGAATATATGAATATGACTAGATAATTAAATACAGATAATAATTGAAATAAAAGACTGTGAAGATTGTAAAAGACTGTTCATATGGCCTTCCTTCCAAAGAGCAAAAATACAATGTTCACTGTTACTCTTGGCATGAGACAGATCCACAAAAATTATTCTCAGAAACGTCTCGGTAACCCTCGTTCCCTGAAGGAGGGAACGGAGACGTCACGTCGGATGACCGACGAATTGGGATCTCGCTTAGAGAGACCAATCTACTTCGAGTGTAAACTAAACGAGCCAATGCACATTGGCATGCGATTATTGCATCCAGCTGCCGCTGATCACAGCGTGAGTATAAGTAGGCAGCAGATGCAGCGCATATTCAGCTTGCAATTACGCCGTAGCGTGTAAGGCGGAGGCAGCTTCTCCACAGGTCGTATAGGCATCGCTGCAGTCGAGTACCTACAGACCCGGGAGGGGAGGCACGGTTCTCCCTGCCGGTTGGAGGCGGTATTATGACACAACTGCATCGCAACCGACCGCTCCACCGGGGGGACCCTTGTAACCCCCTAGCTGCCCCACCATCGAGGGTGGTGAGGGAGGAGGAACCAGCAGATCGGTTTCCGGCAGGTAAAAGGTGCCGTCCACGACCTGGTGAGCTCCTCATGCACCTCCGGGAAGAAAGGCACCGAGGCGGGGAGCTGAGTATCAGCGCGGACCACCCCGAGAACCAATCGTGCAACCTTGAGGGCTCGGGACACGGTGGAAGTCTCCACCTACCCCTACGGCGGCCCGGGAAAGCATAGCCATTATTTCAGCCATTATAGCTCTGGCTCACCCTCCGATGCAGCAATCGACATCTGGTCATTGGGAGGAGCGCCAAAGGATACGGCTGGTACGCTCCTTGTAGAGGGCCCAGCACGTTCCATTGGCAGCTCAACTGGCTGCGGAGTGCCTCAGACCACCCGCGCTACTGCCTGAAGTAGCCCCCCCTGGCTGCCGCCATGAGGAGAACTAGATCGAGGCAGAGGCAATGGAACTCCGCCCCTTGAGGAAACGGAGCTTGGCCCGCGACTCTGAGATGATCATCTTCCCGCAATGAGAAGATGACTCATCCACAAACGCCACCTCAGCGTGCTACATGCCCAGGCACGTGAGGCAGCGATCGTGACCATCACCCGGCGCCAGGTAACGACCGCATCCAGAAACGCTCGGGTGATACGTTGTCTATAGCAAGACCCACATCGTCTTTACAAAGACGTAACGTCAAGTTTGCCACGCAACGTCGTCTTTAAAAAGACGCACCCGAAATTGCTCTTTTAGGGGAAAAAGCTCTTTTAGTGTGCTGAGGCGCACAGGGGAGATGATCATCTGCGACACAAACAGGGGGTAGTGCAGCCTGATGTGTGCAACCCACTCGACACGGGAAACCACCACCGCTGAAGCGCCGTACCGCCAACACGAAGAGCTCTCCAAGAGCGCGCTGAACTCGTTCAGTCTTCTTCTCTCAGTAGAGTAGTC